GCCGACATCTTTTTCTTCTTAATTCTACTTTTTCAGCACCACACATTTCTTTTTCCTCTTTCTTTCTTTTCGCCATAGTTACCATCTCGACGCACAAACCTGGGCTGAGATCAGCCCAGACAAAACGTAGCAAACTGGTGCAAAATGTTTTGGATTAAAATGCAAAGTATACTCCTCTCATTGCAAAAACAAGGATCAGTCCAAGTTGGGAGGGGGTTCTCGTATCCCCCTCAAAAGTGAAAGTAGTAGTTTGGCCCAGTCTCATAGATAACCAAACAGCGTTCCGCTGCAGCTGACCGGCCCGCAATCCGTTTAATAAAAGAAAAAGCCATGAAACTGTAGGCTAATTGGTTGTCCGTTCTCTTGCTTCACCAAAATCTAACGTTAGAGGACAAAAAACAATTTTTTAGAAAATAATAATAATAAAAAATTTTTAGGGGTGCTTAGATGAAATTTAGGGGTACTCCTGGTAAATTTTGAGCTTTGGGCTACTTTGTCTCATAAACATCTCTTCTTTCAGACAAAGCACGAAATATAAATTTAGTAGTTAGATTAGATTTCATTAGATACTGCCTCATTTGCATATTTAAACATAATATTTCAGAAAACCTGTAATATAAAAAAATATTGTCTTAATATAAGTAATCAACTGGGAAAGTTTCATGGTGATATATAATAATAAAATTTTTCACCCTATTTACCTGCAGTGTCTCGCCTTAAGCACAGACTTTAGAAAGGTTGGCATTATTTTTTATGATTAGGTAAACAACCTATAATGTAGGTAACGTTACATCCACATAAGCTATTTTTTAATACATCAGCACTGTATTTGCTAAAATTTTAAGCGATTAAAAGCGGTAAGTGATTCTAATCCAAACAGGTATTTTTCAAATTCAGCAAATATCTCCTCACAGTCTGCTAGCTGTCCATTTAGTGCATGTGCATAGCCCTTTATAGATTCTACAATGAATTATTTAATTGAAAAATAATAAGAATCACATCATGAATTGAACATTTAAGTAATTCTTAGTTGCAGCATGAGTTATGATATTAAACATTTTTGATGGTTGCTTATTTTGTTATTCAAAAAAAACATTTAAAATCTATTTTGTAATGTGCAGTAAAGTGAGGTTAAATTCAATTTACTTCATATTGTATACTTTTATGGCAAACTTTGAAGTAATTTTTGGATTATTACTTGCACCACATTTTTATACTTTCTTATTGCCAGTACATTTTTTAAATCCTGCTGGACCTTACTGTACATTTGACATGTTGAACCACCAGATCCTCCTCTTCACCCTCCTAGAAGTCTCAGGTGCACTGCACTCTCCTGTTCACATCCTACCCCACTAACTGCATTTACAGGTTAACTTGCTGCGTTCGAAAAGTCTTTTTCACTTAGGAAGGTTTCTAAGCAGTGGTGTAGTCTAGTTTTTTCTAGTGAGTATGCTGTGATTTTTCCCTTACAGCCTCATACTCCCCCGTCCCCACATGACGTCCCATAAGCGCCACTACTCTCACTAATAAATACAGTATGCATGTACATGTAATAGAGAGCATTCTGAAGGACTGCTTAGGCTATGTGTTATCAACAACGCAAATACTTTAACAGCCAATGACAGTTAAGGCCCATTTATACTCCTGCGTAGGGTCTACGTGCGTACCTACACCTTAGGCTACACACGTAGCCATGCATTTATACTGTCGGCAGTAGCGCGACAGCGTCCACTGTGTTGACTTTTGCCGGCCGAGCAGGCTAACTTCTGGTTTAGCCCTCCGCTAACGTAAATGGGGTTAAAATTGTAAACGTGCGGCTGGTGTAGCGTTTTAAAATGTTACAGAGCGAATGGATCACATTGTGATAGCAAAACGAGTCATTTCGCTCGGGTTGCGACGGTCAAATATATTGATTCACTGTGTTACAGCCGCCGTTTTGGCCGCTAGTAAATGTTAGTTCAAAGCACTGAGCTCACGGTCCGCGTCGACTCGATGTGTAGTTACATTTTTGAGGAGGTGCACGTCAGGCGACGGCGTAGCCTCTGCGTAGCCTCTGCGTAGCCCCGTAGCCTACGCCGTCGATTCGACGCAGAAGTATAAATTACCCTGTACAGGTGGGAAAGGGTGTCACTTTGTGTTCAAACGTGGTGGGGGCATTTTAGGGCTCAGATTAGAGTTGTGTCAAAACACTTAGCATAAGTGATGTGACAATCCAGAAAAGATTTTTTAATAGTATTTAAAGAAATATTCATTGATGAGTACACGATTGGGGGTCTGGGGGTCCTCCCCCAGACGATTTTGATCATTAAACATTTAATTTCCTGCATTCTGGAGACATTTTCTGCACCAATTTAGGGTGTAAATGTCTAATGTTTAGTGTTAATCACCATGTAACTCAGTTTAGCTGCATTTAGCCTTGGATGTTATATGAATCTGGTTTTATCAGCTGGCAATTTTCAATGCACATTTCACAGTGCAAGTTGCAGCTATTATTAACAATGATGGAAAGCTGAGGCTCAGTAGCAGTAATAACAATGAACATGCAGTTCTATCACCCAAACTCATTCATTACAGAACATTAGCACTGATGACACCAAAAGTTGTCCACATCCTCTCAAGCTCACTTATCTTCCGAAAAACCATTGTCAAACGTAGGTTATGTACTGTATCAGCTTAAATGCATGAGCAAGCATCCAGGAACTGCTACTACTGTACACACACACACACACACACACACACACACACACACACACAGAGTATCCCGCATTCATTGATCCACCACATTAACGTTGCTGTTACAGTTCCGTTAATGATAGCATTAATGATAAGATAGGCCTATATATTATTTTCACTCACCAGGTAACGTTACGATAGTATCAGCCTAATCTGGCTTGTTTTTAACATTCGTGTGCAGGCTTACGAAAACACTAAAATAGTGTAGTTTGAGTTTGCTCGGGTTTCACATTTCCTTCAGTAATGCACATTAGTTAATTTCAAACGTGCGCCGAGTGACCGCACGCAGCTGTGTTGTTGTTTGGTAGCTGACGTCAGTTCAGAGCTTCGCAACACAAATGGGGTGAATTTATGAATGAACGTGTGAAAGTTCTGTCACAAAACAATGTTGTTACGTATCAACTCGCTATTTTAAGTGGGTATACGGAAATCTTTGAACATTCCTAGTGGGTATACGGCATATACCTGCGTATCACGTAGAGTACACCACTGTTCCTAACTGAGTGAAGTGAACCGCGGCAGCCATGATAAGAGCTGTTCGAATTCTCTAAAAACTAAGGAAAGGAGCCTCAATGCTTCCTTTCATATCTCCTTTACCTGACCATCCTTTACGAATGGAAAGGAGAGAATGCCGTCCCACAATCTCAAACGATAAAATCCATTGACCACATTTAGCAAGATCCCTGCAATACAGACGCACATTATAATACTTTAATACGACTCACAATTACCTTCTTTCTTTTGGTTTGTTTTCTTTTGGCTTTTTTGTAATCTAATACTGTTTCAACACCGTTTTATGTTTCGGGTTGTTGAAAAAAACATTAAGTGTTTTCTACAATAAAAAAATAAATCACCGACCATTACTGATAAAGGATGTTGATCACCATGTAAATTACCATGGACCTCTCCATCACCACTGAAAAGAACCACTGGCATCGACAGTGCCAATGTGAACTCTGTGGTGTCCCCGGCTCAGACTGCAAGGAACCTGGTTCTGAAACTGGATGACCAGCTGTCCTTCGCTGCCAACATTGCTGCAACAACCTGATCCTTAAGATTCGTCCTCCAGAACATCAGGAGGATGTGCCCATTCCTCACACAGGAGGCGACTCAGGTTCTAGTCCAGGCATCATCTCGCACCTAGACTACATCAACTCACTCCTGGCTGGTCTGTCTGCATGTGCCATCCGACCTCTGCAGCTCATCCAGAATGCAGCAGCTTGACTGGTCTTCAACCTACCCAAGTTTTCCCACACTACACCGCTCCTCTGCCACCTACACTGGCTAGTGTGTGTAGTGGCTGCTAGAAACTGATTGAAGACACTGGTACTGGTCTACCTTGCTGCAAATGGCTCAGGCCAATCCTATTACCAGAACATGATCACACCATACACCCCAGCCTGGTGGGGGTGGGAGGCAGCTCTTGCTAAACAAAATCTTACGTCGCAGACTAAAAACTCATTTGTTCAGACTGCATTTCGAGAAATAATAAAAAAAATCTCTTGCTCTAACTCTTATTGATCTCTCTTTGATGTGCTTGGAGGATTCTTGCATTTTTAGGTTGTAGCTACATGGTTGACATTACTTAAAATAAGTACTTATTGTAAGTTGTTTTGGATAAAAACGTCAGCTACATAAATGTAATGTAACATCGACAGTGCACTGTATACTGAAAATCTTAAACCTCTCTCCTGACTGTTGCTCAATTTACACACAATCACCTTCCAGTCATAGAAACATGGTGCCATCTTAGACACCGACATGCAGTCACACACTGCACAGAGCTTCCTCTGTTCCTTCCTCACAGCCAGCATGTCATTACCTGAGTGATGCATGCTAGGATAGCTCATTTAATTACCTAGACTCCCAACTTGTGGATGTCAGTAGCTCACTCTTTACATGAACATCATTAGACATTACACATTACACATAACATTACAGTGTCTCATTCTGTGTATATGTGTGTGCTGACAAGTGTCATACACTGTGTGTGTGTGTGTGTGTGTGTGCGCGGGCGCGCACGCAGTCTTTAGATATTCCAAATTTTTCGCCTGCTGTACTGTTGCTTCTATTTGTATGCCCTCTTCTATTTCCATTTCTCTCTTATTCACTGCATATGTATCTCTCTTTCGGTCTCAGTCTCAGTCTTTTCCCCGTACCTTCTTTCCATTCACTGTCCTTCTCCACCTTACCTCTCCTTTCTTCTGTCAAATATGTCACCCCCTTTTTCTGTCCTCTGCTTCATCTCCTCTCTTTTTCCCCTACAGGCATCCCTGGACTTTTATAGTGACAAAAGGTGATGTTTCTTCTGTTGTGGAGGATCACGCAGTCTATCAAGGTAGGAATACATTTTTAATTTTTGCTACCAACCTGACATTATGTATGTAGTAAAAAAGCATACATGTTGTAAGTGATCTGTATGTGTTTTGTCAGGGACCAAGGCCTCGTCAGAGGCCCTGAGCTCTCGTATTTTTCAGTCAAGTTTTGGGGAGCATTTCACCATCACTACTATTAGCCAGTGGATGCAAGGTAAAGCCTCTCTCTCTCTCTCTCTCTCTCTCTCTCTCTCTCTCTCTCTCTCTCTCTCTCTCTCTCTCTCAATTCAAATTAGCTTTATTGGCATGAATGTGTAACAACAATATTGCCAAAGCATCATACATACAACATAAGAACAATCAACCCCATACATTTCATTAAACAAGTAATTAAAGCATAAAGTAATCAAAGCGTATGTGTGTTTGTGCAAAAAAAAAAAAGAAGAAATATTAAAAATTAAAATAAAATAAATAAATAAAACAGTAAGCGTGTGTGTGTGTGTGTGTGTGTTAAAAAATAAAATATATAATAAAATAAATAAATAAAAATAAAATAAATAAATGAAACAGTAATGTGTGTGTGTGTATATATAAATAGAGAAACAAAAATTAATTGATTAAAAAATTATAATAAAAAAAAATATCTGTATCAAATGTAAAAACAAAACAATTACTAAAATATAAAAATAATATTAATGTGAAAATCTGTACAATTATTTATCAGTCTGAGGTTCCACTGGTTGTCCTCACTTTATGGCATGAGGAGACCTATTTTGCAGCAATAATTTCACATTTGGGCATTTCTCCCAGTAAATAGGGGAGTTTCTGTTTGTCTGATATGAATTCGAATTTGGGGTATATTTGGGAAATGTTTGCAAAGTGTTTTTGTCTTAGTGTTTTATATTTGGGGCATGAGGTTAGAAAGTGCAGCTCTGTCTCTACTTGTCCCCTGTCACACTGGGAGCAGAGTCTCTCATCTTGTGGTAGCCAGCTCTGTCTGTGGCGACCCTTTTCTATGGCCAGGCTGTGTTCACTCAGTCTGTATGTTGTCAACATTTTTCTTAGTTTGGGACATTTTATTGTACTCAGGTAATTTGCCAGTGTGAATTCTCTTTTTAGGGTCAGATAACATTGTAATTTACTTTGTGTTTTGGTCGTTTCTTTCCAGTATTCAATATATTTTTCTTTCTGCTTGCTGATAATTTGGTTTGGTCTGCTTGAGTTGGTATTGCTGTTGTGAGGCTGTTGGGGACTTGTTATTGCAGAGAGCCTCAGGACCAGCTGACTGAGGGGACTCTTCTCTGGTTCCAGCTCCTGGTATGTTAGGGCTTTGTGATGATATGTCTGGGGGTGACTGATTTTAAGTGATTGTAAAATTTAAGTGATCTTTTCTGTATTTTTAGTAGGAGGGGGTATTGGCCGAGCTCTGCTCTGCACAGGTTATTTGGTATCTTTCTCGGCACCTGCAGGATGCTCTTACAGAACTCAGTATGGAAAGATTCTATGATTGTTTTGTCCCATTTGTCAAATTCATTATTAAGTTTTGGCCCCCAGATTTCATTAACATAAAGAATTATTGGTTCTAGTACAAATTGGAAAATTTTAAGCCAGATTTCAATTGGAATATATATTTTAATGTTTCTTTTTATTGCATAGAAAGTTCTCCTTGCTTTGTCCCTCAGATCTTTCACGGCCATGTTGAAGTTCCCTGTGTATGTAATGTTGAGGTCAAGGTAAGTGTAGTTTTTTGTGTGTTGTAATTTAGTGGTGTCTAAATAGAAATTGTGTGTAACCTGATTTCTGTATTGTTTCTGAAAGATCATTATCTTAGTCTTTACTGTGTTTACTGTCAGGGCCCAGGTCTGACAGAATCTCTGCAGGAGATTAAGGTGCTGTTGCAAACCTTCTTTAGTAGGTGAAAGCAACACTAAGTCATCTGCATACAGCAGACCTCTGATCTCTGTATCGTTCAGGGTGAGGCCAGGTGCCGTGGAACTCTCTAATTGGTTTGCTAATTCATTTATATATAGATTGAAGAGAATTGGACTGAGATTGCATCCCTGCCTCACTCCCCGGCCCTGGGAGAAGAACGGTGTTTGTTTATTTCCAATCTTTATCGCACATTCACTTTATGTATACATGTTCTTAATCAAATCACTTTTTTTTTTCCTCTAATGCCACTTTCAAGTAGCCTATAGAAAAGGCCCTAGTGCCAGATGGAATCAAAGGCTTTTCGGAAGTCAACAAAAGAGGCATATACCTTTCTTTTCTTAATGTTTAATTCTTGATCAATTAGAGTCTGGAGGGTAAATATATGGTCCGTTGTGCGGCAATTTGGCAAAAAAACAATTTGGCATTTACGCAGAATATTGTGGTCATCAAGAAAGTTGACAAGTCGTTTATTAATGATGTTGCAGAATATTTTTCCCAGGTTACTGGATACACATATTCCTCTGTAGTTATTTGGATCATATTTATATATTTATCTCCGGATTTATGAATTGGGGTTATTAAACCTTTGTTCCAGATGTCTGGAAAAGTTCCAGTTGCTAGAATAGTATTGAATAGTTTTAGTATAGCCAATCTGATTTTATGGTCTGAGTATTTGATCATTTTGTTGAGGATTCCATCAATACCACAAGCCTTTTTTTCCTTTCAGGGACTGGAGGACTTCTGTTAATTCTTGTTCTGTTACAGGGTAAAAAACAGAGTTTTCCATTTTGTGAATATCTTGTACTGATCATCATTTTTTGTAATATTACTGTATAATTCAGTAAAGTGATTAATCCAAGTATTTCCATCTTGGATCGCCAATTCATCCTGCTGGGTTTTGTTTAGGTTGTTCCATTTCTCCCAGAACTGGTTGGACTCTCTCACTTTCACAGAGCTGGTTCTTGCTGTGTTGTTCTTTCTTAGTTTTTAGGGTGTACTTGTATTGTTCCAGAGTGGCCTCATATTGACAGCGTATGTTGTGGTTGTCTGGGTCCCTATGCTTTTCATTTGATAATTTCCTTAAAGTTTTCTTTAGGTTTTTGCATTCAGTCTCAAACCATTTGTTATTGTTCATTTGTTGAGGTTTTGGTTTGAAGGCTTTCAAATTAGACAATGAAGCCAAATGATGAAATATTGAATTGATTTTGTCCACAGCAGAATTTACACCAGAATAACTCTCTCTCTCTCTCTCTCTCTCTCTCTCTCTCTCGCTCTCTCTCTCTCTCTCGCATGCGCAAACATGTGCACATACACACACATGTCAGAGGTTTGTTGTATGACATGTGTCCTCCATTCAGGGAAATTTGGGAGGCACAGATGTGAACATTCTGTTCCAAGCACGTGCTGAGTTTATCAAATAGACATGCCAGGCTGGAGTCACAGTTTGCAAAGTGTGTCTCTCACATATGCATGTAATAGAGGAATGTGCAAATAACATGTTAACAGAGGGTGATCATGTTTTCTGCTGTACTAAGATCACTGAATTTGTCATTTTTCGGGTAACATTCTCGGCCTCTGAGGACCAGGCATGAACAAAGTGCATATGGGATTTTACAAGAGCAACAAGTAAGATTGTACTGGCATTAAATAGCATTAAATAGCTAAAACCGTTTATTAATGAGCACAATATCTTGTATCTCTACTGTAAATGAATACCTCGACCTTCTACACTCTAAGCATATACTATCCCTCCTCAGTTCTTTGCATGCCTAAAAACAGAAGCATACCTTGAAACAAAACAGCCAACTCAACTGGCAAAATCTGGAATCAAGCGAAATGGTGAACAGTCCTCCTATACGATATTTAGTCCAAAAATAAACTTGATGTGTTTCCTACAGTTCCTAACTCATTGTACTACACTCTATTAACTATTAAACTATTAACACCTATGACCATGACTCAATGAATATCTGTGGTTAACTTTTGAAGTATGTAACTAACCCTAAGTCATCATTTTCAAATGATCATTGTAAAGCCTTGTGGGCTCCATGATTTATCAACATTTTGTTTTTTTCTCCACCAACAACTGCTGCTTATTGCTATTTTCTATACATCTCTGTGATGATTATTAAAAGGAATATGATTAAATTTAACTCTAACAGTACCTACATGCAGACTCAGACAAACAAAACTCTTACACTTGTTCCATCATCCCACTGGAGTTTTTTTTAATTCTTCCTGAACAGTAATTGATCAGACTTGGTGATATCATCATCACACATCTTCTCATCAACATGTCTGCCTCATAACAAGCCGTCTGGTGTGCTGCTGTTAATGACCCCTCCTTTTTAGTTAAAAGCATCATCTCCCATGAGATAGCAGCTCTTTTGTCGAAACTGCCACACTCCAGCATGCAGATATACACACAGTGGAAGAGGCTTTGAGACCTGTGCTCAAACATTCTACGGCAGCCTGAGAATGTTTGAGTGCAGGGCACACAACCTTTGTGTGTTGAGCTCCAGATTGAAATTCAGGCCCACAGTCAAATGCACATCCCCTGCTGTGACAACCAGACAGAGAACATAATGGGAGAGGAGAGCCCTTCAATTACTCTGCTACAAATGCTCTCTGACAACCTTAATGGACTACAAGTCAAAGCCTTGACGTAGACTAGCCTAATATCCACCCCTTGGCTGTCTGACCACTAAACTGGGAGCTACTGGTTTATGTGTGTGTGTGTGTGTGTGTGTGTGTGTGTGTGTGTGTGTCCCACAGAGGCAGAGTGGACAGAATGGTTTGACAGGGATGATGAGAGGGGATCTGGAGACTGGGAGAAACTGTCAGACCTGCATGAGGCCTATCCAGACCGACTGTGTACCAGTCCACTGGACATCCAGGTAAATCTCCTCATACTTCATGCACAGCCACAGCCTCATACACCTTACTACCTTACTGATATAAAATTGTAGTCACCAGGCCACAGAGATGAAAGCTGCTGATACTGGCAAATGGGTCATTATCATATTCTTCTGAAGCTACATGAAAACCCACTGATTTATTCAGAGAAACTCTGAAAATTTAATATGGTGCCATGGTAATATTTTCAGAGTCAGTTTATCTAGTAACCCTCCAGCTCACTTTGTGTAGATGTTTGACTGCAAATTGCGAAGGTTTGAGATTTTTTTTTAGATGAAACAATGGTTCATCTACCAATTAAATGCCTGTGGCATTCTGATGTCTTCAAATTCCTACACTTGTTGTCTTACTCAGATTCAGGTTAGTGGACTGACATCACTGTGCATATAGAATGTAATATTTTTTGCCATGCCATGCCCTCCTTCCAGGGATTCATGATGATGAAGCTTTATCAAAGAGGAAAGTCTTAAGCCTACTCTTAAATGTGGAGATGGTGTCTGCCTCCTGAACCCAAACTGGAACCTGGTTCCACAGGAGAGGAGCTTGATAGCTGAACGCTCTGGCTCCTAGTCTACTTTTGGAGACTCTAGGAACCACAAGTAACCGTGCATTCTGGGAGCGCAGTGCTCTGGTGGGGTAGTAAGGTACTATGAGCTCTTTAAGATAAGATGGTGCCTGACCATTAAGAGCTTTGTAGGTAAGAAGAATGATTTTAAATTCTATTCTGGATTTTACTGGAAGCCAATGCAAAGAAGCTAAAACAGGAGAAATGTGATCTCTTTTCCTGATTTTTGTCAGTACACATGCTGCAGCATTCTGGATCAGCTGGAGAGTCTTAAGGAACCTATTCGGGCAGCCTGATAATAAGGAATTTCATTAATGCAGCATAGAAGTAACAAATGCATGGACAAGTTTTTCCCACATAATTCTGAGACAGGATGTTCCTGATTTTTGCAATATTTCGTAGGTAAAAAAAGGCGGTCCATAAAGAAGTGGTATTCTGCTTTTTGGCTTTTTCCCTCTCCTTTATTGAGTTATATATCTTTTTTGTGAATGTAATAGGTAATAAGTCCAGCCCAAAGGGAGTTCCCATCTCCCACAGAAAACTCTGCTCTGAACTGCTTGAAAACAGCTCGTTTGTAGTCCAGCCGCTTCCCTTTCATCCCTGTAACGTCACAGGGATGAAAGCTAAATGCGCCTCATATAACGGCTAGTAGTCCTTAATTAGGAACTGCGCATGTGCAACTCCCAACAAAGATCATTTAGAGACAAGATGTATCACTCCGTAGCTAAAACGAAGCCTTCAACACAGGGTGAAAAGAGGAGCTGTAGCAATGTGCAGTATGACAAAAAATATGGTGTTTTTTGAAAATGAAACTATGTAAACCTGTTCTGGTACAACCCCTAAATAGGATTTTGAACCTGAAAATGAGTATAATAGTCTCACCTCTTTAAGGTTTGTTTTATGGGGGAGTTAAAGGACATGTTCTGATCAAAGAAAACTTCAAGATTCCTCACAGTGGTGCTGGAGGCCAGGGCGATGCCATCAAGGGAAACTATATCTTTAGATAATGTGTCTTGGAGGTGTTTGGGGCAAAGTACAATAACTTGAGTTTTGTCTAAGTTTAATATCAGTAAATTGCAGGTCATCCAGGTTTTTACACCCTTAAAGGTTTAGTGTGTAAATTTTAGTGCATCTAGCAGTGAGGCTGCAAATTGCAACCAACTGTTTAGTCAATAATAATTACAATGCACAATCTAAATATCACACTGCACACAACTTAAGTAGTTTTTCACACAACAGCAGGACACTGTAAAAGGAGTTTGTTACCTTGCTTAGAAGTTGAAAGTGTGCAGCCTGTCGCCTGCAGCCGTTCATCTAACTACTCACTGTGGCTGATTCTTTGTTATTCCATTACTCTCCTGCAAATACTTAAGGCATAAGAATGCAACATGGGAACGGCAGACTCCGCCTACAGTGCAGAAAAAATTCTGTAGTATCAAAAATTGGGTTTTATTTCATGAAAACCTTAACAATTATAAATTTAAACTCACATCAACATGTATTAACAATAATGTTGAATGAATAATGTACCAAAGAGGAGCTGTCACATGGATTGCAGCTCCAGCTGCTCCTGTGTGCACTTTTTGGGGGGTTATATTCTTCCAGTCAGCCAACTTGCCATTACTGTTCTGTGGGGACATGACATGGCTGGAGCCTCTGGATGTGGGTCCAGACTGGCATCATTAAGCAGCAGCTGTTAGCCTTCCATGAAGATGAGCAGTAGTTTCAGGTCTGCCTGCACCACCTCCAACACCCATACTATTACCATAAAAAATACCTACTTTAGGCTCCAGCTGCACTTTTTTTATGGCTGCTGTGCAGCAGTATAACTTGATCAGTTTGATCTCTTGCATCTCCTTTTCAGCTCACTTGTGCTTTATATTGTCTTGGTCTCTTACTGGACTGTCCTTTTTTGCTATTTAATAGAATAAGACATAATTACAAATGAATTGTTGGCATAAAATAATGATCTTCAGAAAGAGTTTTCTGTGTTTTTGTTTTCTGAAGTTAGTAGCTGCTAATTAATCGTATTTTCATAAGCATTTAGGAAGAACTGCCATGTCCTCCCAAGGTGACGGCCCTGCGCGTGTCATCATTTTTCTACCCAGCCTAGACATAATCAAAGTTTTCCACAGTTTTCAGTCTAATTTGCCTCTGTTAGAGCTCTATTTTTAATCACATGAAGTTTTTTGTTGTCTCATTCCCAATATGTTATGTAAAATGGTTCTGCTTTGTTCTGGATTATCTGACCATAAGGAGATGTGAGGTGCCTGAGACAGAATATCAGCACTTTCCTGTTGTTGTTTGGGTCATGGGTTACTGTAGTTCAAGAAGTTATAGTCGTATTACTCTTTTAGAAAGGTTTACAAGGAAAAGGGGTGTACAGCATTCTAATGTCAAAATATGATGAGGCTTTATTTGTATAGCATCAGCCAAGACGTCGCAAGACCCTTTTTACTGGGGCACGTGCCCCTATATCCATGTGCTGTGCCCTAGTAAAATGGTCAAGAACCCTTGGCGTAGTTTTTGGACATCTAGGGCTCCGTGGTGAAGTTAGCAATAATATATATGCAACGTCCGGTTACACTTTCAAAATAAAACAACTGGTTAATGTGAAACGACATGTTGTTAATGTTATGAAATGTCACAAAAACAGAGTCAACGTTGAAAGCGACTGTTTACAACATTCATAAGAGGAGAAAGAGGGACTATCCTACAATGCACAAGAACAGAAAAAAATTGAGTGAGAGTGACATTCGGTAACAGCAGTTATGTAAACTTGTGTTCTCTCCTCTCAAAGTCTGATGTCAGCAGCAAATAACAATAAATTTATGTAAATGTGCAGCTGCAGGGAATCTCTCTACTCTGTCTGTCCTGCTAACCCAGCTGGGCAGTCTGTGTTGTGGTTGCTTGTCAGACTTTGTGCTAGAACAATGTTAGAGTGAAATACAACTATTTATTATGTTTGATAAACTCCGACAGGCAACAATGTTTATAAACTGCAGCTCTGAACTGCGTCAAGTGTGAACGTGCACAAAATGAAACTCGCGCATCCCAGCAGCAATATGCGACCAGTCCAAACACAGAAGTGATAGTCTCCTCATAGGCACACATGATTTAAAAACAAGACAATCATTATCTGTCTCTCAGTGAAGGTTTATGAGGACTGAGTTAGTGCTCAGAGGTCCATTTAAACCAGCACTGGATGTTTCTAGAAGAGGTTTCCATTCAGGCTTCCATTACAGTGACAGACTCCTTTAAAGGAGGGAGGTCGCAGCGAGAGCACTGCAGTGTCAGATGTGATTGTGCAGCAATGGTAAATTGTTTACATGGCTCTTCTTAGGTGGTGACGTAGGTATGTGTGCTTATACTTTGGTCAAAGGCCTTTCTTACATGGCAGTGACTATAATAATGGCTAAGCAAGGGAAGCTGGTAAGGCACATACATTTCATACACTTTCAAAAATTAACATAGCCACAAGTGGCAATGATTGAGATCCAAGCAGGTCGAGAAAAATACAATATTTAACATTTTCAGAGGAGAAGATCAGATGCAGGTGATTTATGAGATTAAAGTGATGAAAGAATTTGGACTTGAAGCCAAGCTTTTTTAAAGATAATTGCATATACGCAAACTTGATTTTTACAGCATCCCCTTGAGGTCAGGAAGAGTAAGTATATGTACAGTTGTGTTCAAAACCATAGCAGTGTGTGAAAAAAGTGACTGAAGGCCCAAGCTCTAATAATAATAATAATAGCTTTTATTTCTATACATGCAAATGCATTGGGAACACTGCCCATTCTATTCCAAATCAAAACATGAAGAAAAAAAATCATCAAATTTGTCACTACTTCACAGAAAGTGAGAAGAAAGGAATATTTGGCTGGTCAAAAAATAGCACTTTTACTGCATTTTTACTGTATAAATTGAAAATGCATGAAGATTTAGCTTTCCTGTGAATCACTGAACTAGTATTTAGTTGTATGACCACTGTTTCCACATGGAGTCGACCAAATTCTGGCACCTGTGAACAGGTATTCCAGCCCAGGACGATTGGACTACATTTCACAATTCCTCTGCATTTCTTGGTTTTGCCTCAGAAACATCATTTTTGATGTCACCCCACAAGTTTTCTATTGGATTAAAGTCCGGGGATTGTGCTGGCCACTCCATAATGTTAATCTTGTTGGTCTGGAACCAAGATGCTGCTCGCTTACTGGTGTGTTTAGGGTCGTTGTCTGGTTGAAATAACCATTTCAAGGGCATTTCCTCTTCAGCATAAGGCAACATGACCTCTTCAAGTATTTTGATGTATTCAAGCTGATCAATGATCGCTGGTACGCGATAAACAGGCCCGACGCCCGACATAGTATGAAAAACATCCCCATATCATTTTGTGGACTGATGCTTTCATCAGTCCACAAAATGTTGCACCATTTCTCTTTAGGCCAGTCAGTGTGTTCTTTGGCAAATTATAACCTCTTCAGCACATGTTGTTTTTGCAACAATGGGACTTTGCAGGGGCTTCTTGCTTCTTCTAATTGTTACAGTACTCACAGGTAACTTTAGACCCTCTTTGATCTCCCTGGAGCTGATCATTGGCTTTGTCTATTCTTTGATCCATTCGAATGGTAGTTTTCCATTTTCTTCCACATCTTTCTGGTTTTGGTTGCCATTTCGAAGCATTTGAGATCATTTTAGCTGAGCAGCCTATCATTTTATGCACTTATATGTTTTCCCCTCTCTAATCAACTTTTTAATCAAAGTATGCTGTTTTTCTGAACAATGTCTGGAACGACGCATTTTACTCCGATTTTCAGAGAGAAATGCACCATAGCCAGCATGTACAGTGGAGAGAAAAAGTCTACACACCCCTGCTATTATTTTGAACACAACTGTACCTGACTAGTGGGTAAAATTTTCAACCCATCTGCCAATTTTTTTCTTTCCACATGTCATTCTGCTGGTTTTGGGTGTGTTGTCAGTTATTTTGGTGGCGTTTGATCCAACACTGATAGAAAAGAAAATGTTGTGCATACTGTACAAGTTAAAGCAAGATAGTGAATATCACTGCAGACTAACCGTGTGACCGATCTAACAACCCTTTGAAATTATTTTTTGGTAGCGTTTGAACAGACTTGTGATATAGATGTTAACTGATCTAGCATATTCTGGAAAATATAGTCAATGATTTCAGAATTGACCATAGGTTGGGTGATTTTCTTTCTTCTTTTTTTGAAGTTTGGAATGAGAAATGTCTAGAAATTTACATTTGTTGTAATAAGCCACACCCACTTTAAGCATAACAATTAACAAATTTTATGCATCAACTGAGTAGTGACCCAATTACAAACCCAATTTTGTAAGAATCCATGCAGCAAATTACAAGTTACAAACTTTTCGCATGTGTAGTGCCCCCTACTGGAGGAATATCCCAGGACTGCTCAGCAAAGCTCTGACCGAGCATCTGAACAGACGCTCCAAGTTTGGTTACAATAGCTTAAGCCAATTTTGATTTACAAGCAATTATGTAAAATTGTATGTAAAGACACAAAAGTAAAAATGGGGGGAAAAATAAACTGAAGAATCAAAATTCTTTCGATTACTTTTTATCACTGACATCTGTAGATGATCCTGTCAAAGTTTCTGGTCAATTGCCCAAACTATGTGGGATAAATTCGCAAAAATAGTTTTTTGAGAAAAGTGATAAGTCACATAATTTGATGTTTTTACAGCAGAAGACCATTGGAGCAAACAGCAGATGAATCCAGAGATTAAAATGATTAAAGAAGTTTAACTCTAAACAAAACTATTTAAGAGATAATTGTAAAAGAAAAAAAAGTTGATTGTTATAGCGCCACCATGAGGTCAGTGATTGCCATTTTATTGCCTGAGTAGTGGGTGGAATTTACAACCCACCTGCCAATTTTGGTGAGTTTTTGTCCAGCAGTTTTTGCTGCCCAAACACCTTTAGCAAGGTAGAAAAAAGAAAGAAAAAATAATGAGCACAAAACAATAGAGCTCCAGCAGCTTCCCTAAATATGGGGAACTCTGTGTTATTGTGTTACTCTGACCTGACCTCACTTAAAGTTAGTTCTTGTGTCCATAATTATAGAACACTGAGCCCTTAAACCTCAGTAGTGTGAAATATAAACTGTTTGCCAACAAAAGCCAGAAACTAGACATATACCAGATGTCTGATGCATAAACACATCATTTTAGATGCCTGCAAACAAGGGATATCCTGATGACAAGTGGCCAGACATCTCTTCCTCAAACTATAGACCAGTCACACAACAATGTTGTTCTTAAAATCTGTCTTTCCCTTGTAAGGCTGAAACCCATGACGGCATACCATCCAACCAGACAGGAGATGTGATCTACAAGAATGACAAGGACTATGGCTTTGTCTGTCTCAACAAGGACCAGGCTCATGGCCTCTGTCACAACTACAGGGTCCGCTTCCTCTGTGGAAAACTGGGTATGTTCATCACATACTGTCAGTGTCTGTGTATATGTTTGTGAGTATGGTATGTATTTGAGTATCTGTGTGACATTTCCACTTCTGTAAGTATACAGCCACAAAACACCCCAGAGTTACAAGTACTGCTCCAACCATTCTGAGCGGACCTCTGTTTGGGCTTGTTCTTGGCGTGATCTTTTGTCAGGTTGTCACTTGGTACAACCCATTTAGTAACTATAGCACACGATCCAGTAACTACTTAACCTTAGATATCCCTTGTGTTTGCACTAATGTTGGCAGAACTGGTTTTAGGTACTACGCACCTTTTTAAAGTTGCACAAACTAGTAAAGATTTTAAGGTTTGTGCGCACGCATGGCACCTGCTCTGATTTTATGCCATAGCTGACACATGCCTCCTCAAAACTGTAACTACACATTCGGGCTATGGTTGCTATAGAGATGCTACAGGGGACTGCAAAAACTACTTGGTCAGCTTGGTCTGACATTACTTTTTCTCCTGGTGAGATTGCTGAGAGTGAAGACAACAACTTTTGAATAACACACACTGCAGACTTTATTTTCAACATTTTTGCTGCTTTGAATGAATTAATGAACATAAAAACAAGTGCACAGCGGTAGTCTCCTATTTAGTAATGAAACTAGGCAAAATAAAGTTGCATAAAAATGCATGTAGCCCACTGCTACTTGTATCACAATGAAAATGAAGGAATGTAAACTCATTGTGGGGAAATAACTGAGGGGTTCTGCGAAAATACAGGGTGCCGGGACTGTTGCTGTGAGCCATCTGGTGCTTATTGTTCATTCTCTTTGGGTGTTGTGCTGTGCAAGGGCTCTGTTTGTTAATTCAATGGACTGAATCTCTTGACAAAGCTGGGGAACAGAGAGTGTCTGGTATGATGACCTCAGGATTGCATCTCTGCTTTTTGCTAATGACATACTCCTTCTGGGTTTTTTAACCTGTACTTCCAACGTGCACTGGAATTGTTTGCAGCCGACTGTAAATCGGCACTAATGAGTTGTCAGCACCTTAAAGATGGGGTTGTAACTAGGAGTAGTGCAAGCGGAGGAATTCTAGCATCTCAGGGTCTTTCATATCAAGTGATGGGTAAGATATAATACATGATTGATGGGGCAGATTAGTGCTTTGTCAGCAATAATGACTTTGGTTACTCTTTTGGCTGAAGAGGGCTTTAGGTGCACCTCTTGTTTTGCCAGTCAATCTCTTCCAACCCTCATCTATGGTTATGAGCTTGTGGCAGGGTGTCTGGGGTGACTCTGAGAGACTGAGTAGAACAACTGCTCCTTGGCATTCAAAGGAGTTAGTTGTGGTGGTTCAGGATAGATAGATGACTAAAGAAATAGCACAGACATAACAATTATTAAAGTGTGTGACTCTGTAGGCCTGTGTGAATGCAGCAGTATGTGTGCCAGCTTTGCTGTATTCTGTGAGCTCTAACTCTCACCCTCTCCACCCGTAGTTCACCCACAGGCCTCCATTTCCATCGATATGTTGTCCAACAGCAGCATCTTGGAGCTCGCCGACCAGCCCCAGGGCTGGGTGTCCGGGGATCGGGTGGTGGTGGCCAGTACGGACTACTCCATGCACCAGGCAGAAGAGTTTACCCTGTTGCCCTGCCCTACCTGCACATCCAACCAGGTTAGGGTCCAAGGTGAGAGAACCAGTGACCTACAGTGTGTTACCTTACATGACAGGGTTTGATGTTGCTTGGGAAACATTTATGTACTGACAAGGCATTTCAACTTATTGTATTCAAGTTAAGGCTCAGACTAACTAGATTTTTAAGTATTGGCATAAAGTCTCTTCTTTAACATGTTTGTGAGCTGACATTTTGACAGTAGCTGTTGTTGTAGGGGAGAGTGTAACTGACTGTCTCAGCTCGTATTGTCCTTACCTGTACTAGGTTTTGAAGTGACCGTGACCTTGACCGTGAATTTTACTTTGGACCAGGCATTTCCTATGCTGATTACTGCTCAATAGGCATATTTACGTACTTAATCAAAAGGACCAGGCACCATGGCGTGCTGTGATCGCTCCAGAGGAGAGGGAAGAGAGCCAGAATAAAGCCATTGCTGGCCCAGCTTGCTCCTGGTAAATGTCCCTTCTGGAAGAAATGGGACTCATACTGCCAAACACCGGGAAATCGAAGACTGTTAAGCCCACATCTTTACACAGACCTGCCCCATCAATGTTCCGGACAGGGCCGATCCGTGGCACAGGCAACATAGGCAGTTGCCTAGGGTGCAAATTGTCTGGGGTCGCTACAAGGGAAGATTTTCAACTCTGCCCAGCTGCTTCGACACCGGCATACGCCGTGATAGTAATAAAGTGCACCTCGCGCTGAGAGTCCAGACAGTTGTGACGAGTCGTGTCGTTATGTAGAGTTTTGCAGTATAAACATTTAAAACCTGAGGCACAGCCTCGCTGAGCTGAGCTGCTTAAATTAACATGTGTGTGGAGTGTTTTCCAGTTGGTTTCGGTTTCACATGCAACATGTAGAATGTGCAATGTGTCAGTCAAACGGTCTAAAGATGATAATTCCAGCCAAGCAATAAGTGATGCACAGCAGAGTAAAGGACAGGTAGACTTAAAAAATATTATGTATATAAATAATGAATCAGTCTTGTTATATTACGACTTTTTTCTCTACATGTCAGAGAACACAGATATTTGGGAGAGAATGTGCAGAAAGTTTTGAACATGAGCAGAAAACCTGTTGAAACACAGGAGCTATTAAAGTCCAGGAGTTTATAACTAAATTTAAATTAACTTACTTGAGGTGGAAAGGTGCCACATGCACATCCCAAACAAGACACAAAAAGGAGGGAAGGCTGAATCATGCTGCATGTGTGCTGCATTACATTCTATTATTTTTTTATATTTTGAATTGTCACCTGCTGCCTGAATTTCGTGTTTCCTTTTACATAAATTACCTTTCCACCATATTTGCGAGAAATTAAGTCTTCAATGCTAAAGATTTTCTGGGGGAGGACTCCCAGACGCTCCTCTTCATTTCTGTCCCCTCTGCAACTGAAATCTACCCCATAATGCAAGAAACTCTCTGTCTCTGGAGTGACACACTGTTTATGGAGGGACACATATATGTCTGGTCCCCCAATTTAGGCTATCATGTGGAGATTGAAAAGTATGCTGATCTCACTTATTCATTATTGACCATGATTACTGACTTGGCTGTTCATCTATACATGCTAAAATTGTGAGTTTGGTTGCTGAATGTTTAAAACAATACCTGTGAATAAAGGAGTGATGACTCCCACCCCTAGGTGAACTTTTAGGATTGGGCATGGTGGTGGGGGCGGCAATTTAAAATTTCGCCTAGGGCTTCAATATTGTCAGGGCCAGCAATGGTTCCAGAGCACACAACGGGCACAGCTTTCTGTGAGAGTGCAAGGCTCTGGCGAGATCAGAGGAGGCGGCTGCGTGTTTACATGGTGATACTTGGTGCTCAAATGCAGTCAAAGTGGATGGGCACTGTTTCCAATGTCAGACTTTTACGAAGCCTGCTGGCAGGAAGAGTCCCATTTCCTCCAGACCGGACATTTACCAGGTGCAGCCTTAAGTCCAAGCTGGGCCAGCAATGGCTGTATCCTGGCTCTCTTCCCTGGAAGACTTTTGAAGGAATTTCATTTTAAATTAAAATGGCAAGTTACGTAAAGTCAACTTTACCTTTACAGCACATAAAACACAAACCAAAGCAAAATGTTCTACAAGGTTAAAAGCAAAAGGTGACAGAACAAGAAACAAACTGGACTAATGAAAAAAGATAAAACACATATCACAAGTGAAAATACATGAGACACACAGAGGTAAAACTGTGTTTCAAATCAATTTCTTATAATGGCATTGCATTCCGGTAACCTTTAACGCAGTCAGGCAGTTTGTTTCACAGTTTTGATGCTGGAATAAAAAAAGCTTAATCACACTTAGTTTGAGTCTGGGTCTACTATAATACAAAAAAACACAGAAAGATTATAAGTTAGATCTCCATTAAAGGAACTGAGGGGTTTCTTAGAAAGTGATTAACAAACAATTCTTTTTTTTACATAAAATGTATATTCTCTAATATTTTTAATTAATGAAACCCCATTTCTGAAAACAATTATGGCTGTCATTTTTCTCCAATAATCATTCAATGTATTTGCTTCTTTATTTATTTCTGTAATTACCCCTATGTAGTAGGGAATTGTACTACTAGTACTATTGTTACTGAGAGAGTCCTCCTGTCCTGTGCAGGATTAGAAACTGGGTACCTAAACACAAGGGTTTCACTGGAAATTATGCATGCATGAAGTAAAATTCCAGTTTGTTTTCTGCATAGACAAAGTGACAATTGGAGCCTAAGATTGGCGTTAATCCGGTCAGGTTGAATTATTAATACAAAAGATTAATAACTGCATTATAGAAATTATCTGGTTTCTTTGGTACAAATTTTAAGTAAATCCTGTTTACAACTGAAAAAAGAAAACCATACCATAAATACTCAGGTTGTATTTTCAGAGCTCAGGCAATAGGCTTTTTCAGTGAAATTGTATTTGGAAGTATTTGAGATCTTGGAACACTGCAACATAGAGTAAAATTTGTTTAATGGCTCAGTAAACACAAGCAGTCGGACTATCAGACAGGCTGGAAACTATTTCTTTGGTGAGAAATCACAACTGATACATCCAATGGCTGGAGCTACCAAAATAAGACCCAAGTTCTAACAGTTGTTTTCCTACAACCTCACACCCAACAAACACACCCCAAAAAGCTAGGGTGTGTTTGGTAGAATTGAGTGTCAGGGCTGATGACATATTTTGCTGACATTGATTCGAGATTTGAGTTGGCACTTGGCTTATATCTTTTACAATTGAAAGATGCATTATGGAATAGTTATGGCTCACTAGCGCAAGCACAAACAACACTGCTGGTTTGAATGTTTAAATGATTAAGTCATAACATTTGATATGACGTGAAATTAACGTGTGACAGGCAACATTATCTATTCATCTCACTTTCAATTTTAATTTGATATTAAACATCCACATACATGATCAAACGTTTATGGTGTATCAGACATAATTATGTTTTTCATAGACTAATTCATAGACATATACACAGAAACTGGAGAGGAAACGTTATTTTAATACTTTTGGAGGGTTATGAGTATGTTGGAGTTTACTGACAGAGCCAGATAAAAGTTTGCTTTTATCACGGCAGCTCAATAGTTTGCACCACTGCCCCCACATTCTCATGTCACATTCATTTTTATACATCACACGTGTGTGAAAACCAGCGTCTTTAACCTTTTTGTGCATAGGCAGCATTTATACATGAGGGCCCTGAGCACAATAAAATGTCCTAAACTAAGAAAAGTGATGATGACATACAGACTGAGTGAACACAGCCTGGCCATAGAAAAGGGTCGCCACAGACAGAGCTGGCTACCACAAGAGGAGAGACTCTACCTGTCCTGTGTCACACTGGGAGCTGAGATAGAGCTGCTTTCTAACCTCATGCCCTAAATACAAAAATGTACGAGAAAAACATTTCCCAAATATACCCCGAATTCGAATTCATATCAGACACACAGAAACTCCCGTTTACTGGGAGAAATGCCCAAAAGCCAAATCGTTGCAGCAAAATATATCTCCTCATGCCACAAACTGAGGACCACCAGTGGAAACTAATATGAAAAATAAATAATTGTTGTTGTTTGTATAAAATTACTGTGACATTATCACAATTATTATTAGTATTATTATTGTTTGTTATTTTAATAATTGTCCCTTGGCAGGACTTATTTACAATGTACGATATATTTTGTTTTTTTTACTCTGTCTTTTTTAATTTAATTTTATTGTTTGTTAAATAGACTTACTGCTTTGACAGCATTGAATTGAATTGACAGACAGGGCAAACAAAACAAACACACGGATGGGGAGAACACAGCAGAAACACTAGGAAAGGGAGGAGCCGTACCGCTGACCATAACAACATCTCTCATTTTGAACAGACCTGTGTTATTAAACTGCACTTGCTGTTACCACTAATTATCATAGGCATTACAAATTCAACAAACATCTTAAGTATCATAACTTTAATTTATTGCTATCTTTGCTTGCAAAATTCTGAAAAATTCAGGTTGTGATCATTTCTTTTATTGAAGAGAGAGTGAGTGAATGTATTCCTCCTTTAGATATAGTGATTTGGAATAAACTCCCTGTTAAAGTATGGCATTTCTATCTGTCTGAACAGATTTAAATCACTGAAACCATTTAAATTGCAATGAATCCTTCAAAGAGCATTAAGGCTGAATCTACAGAGGGGTGTGTGTGTGCGTGTGTGCGTGCGTGCGTGCGTGTGCGTGCGCATGCACGTGAACATTAACACAAAGTCTAATAGAGGCCAAGTTGACACAGCCTAGAGCATTGTGTGGGAGTCAGTGGAAGGTGTTTGGACTGAATCAGGGCCAAAGGAATGTCTCAGTCTGCATGCCGGAGTACTGTGTGTTGCTGACTGGGTTCATTCACGCTGACACACAGATATACACACACGGACACATGGAAACGTATGCTGGTTTGAACACAAATATTTCCCTCTCAGCAGAGTTCACATTCTGTAGAGTTATTCAGGTCAGCCTTCACTGTT